CCGGCCCATCCGTACGTCGCGATTCTCCTGGCCGGCTCATAGACAAAGACGACGTAGATCGCGAGGGCGACCATCGAGGTGATGTGCACGAGGGGGAAGAAGCGGTCGAGAAGCGTTTTCGGCGGCGCCGGAGCGAACGGCGAATCGGCGGCCGGTTGCTGCTGCTGTCCTCCTGCAATCCCTCTCGGTCCTCCTGGTCCTCCCGCGCCGCCCATGCCGGCCATCATCTGCTGCATCATCCGCGAGAACGGGTCCTCGCCAGGAGCGCCTCCTGCTGCACCGGCACCTGCACCAAACGCCGCAAACGGGTTCTGGGCCGAAGGGCCGGTTCCTGCGAGGAGCGAGAGCGGGTTCTGCATGCCCAAGTCGATTTCGGCGGGGTCGTCGTTGACATCGGCGAGTGAAGTCGGCGGTGGGGGGTTGCTCGTCACCGGTCGAGGTGCGATGCCCACAGCAGCTGAGCGAGGGAGGGCGCCCATACAGTCAGCGATGAATCTCACTCGCTCCATAGTTCTACCAGATCACAGACGAGCTCACAGTCGGTGACGATGCGGCCTTCGCCCTTTGCGGCGCCCGTAATCTTGTCGAGTCGCTCTTTGCTCTTGGCGAGCAGCTTGGCTTGACGAGCAGCAGCCTTCTGGCGGCGTTCTTCTGCGGCGGTGTCGTCCGACATGCTGGTCCGTCGAGGGCGAGTTGGTCTCGAGCGAGAGAGAGAGACAAGTCGATCACTCCTCTTGCGGGAAGTCGGTCGAAGAGAACCAATTAACGAGGTCAATTCTTCTCTTTTCTACAGCCAATTAATTCAACAGTCGGCTGCAGCGCCCGCTTGCGAAGTACCAGCATTCCGACCCGAAAAGGCCGCAGACTTCGGAAATGACGGCTTCCAGCTGATGACCGCGAACCAATCTACAACACCTCTTGCCCAGGCTTATACGGCTCCATCAGCAGCTTGCTGAACCTGGTGGTGTATCATCGAGGTCAGCTCAGCAAAACCCGAGGAGGAAAGGCACAAAAAAAACGCACTTCTTCAGGCTCTCGACACCGCGGACCTCTTGGCTCAGGAGCGGCATCTTGACAATGTGAAAGTCCTGCGACAAAGACTCATGCGGTCAGGTTGAGTGAGGGAGTATGAAAAAATGCCGACTCTCACCTCGCCGTAGAGCTCGTACGCCTCCTTGAGGTACTTTTGCTGCTGAGTCCATCGGACCTTGCAGTGCTTGCACGTCGAGTCTGCGCGCGGCAACCAAAACCCGCATGGTCAGGGACCCCGTCAGAGTCCTGATCACTCAAGCTCGCACATAAACCGACGCACCATCGTCGGGGAACAGCAGCTGGTTGACGATGATGGCGTGCACGTCGATCTGGTACTGCGTGAGCTCCTGGATGAGGCGCTCCGTCTCGTACAGCGACAGGAACTCGGAGACTGTTCGTCCGAGGAAGGTATGATTCAGTGTCTCGGTTTGCGGAGCGCGCGGAAAAAATGGACGCACTCATGACGGGAATGAAGGTCGTGAGATCCTGTGGGGAGGTATAGTTTCACGTCAGCCAAACCGTGGAGCAAAGCGACTAAAAGGAAACACTGACCGGGTTCTTGAACTGAGCATTGACCTCTGTGACCACCTCCCGCATGCTCTCGAGCTTCTCAAACATCTCGCTCGTGTTCAGTCCGCCACCCATCATCGATCCGATCTGTTGTTCCCCGAAAACCCGTCAGCCCCGCGGCGTCATCTTGCGAAAAGAGGAGCTCTCATACCTGATTGAGCATCGGGCCGAAGCGGCCAGAGAGACCGCTCAGCTTGCCGAGTGCCTTTTCGAGAACGGACGGGAACGACAGGAACCGCAAGGTGTGACCGGTCGGGGCCGTGTCGAACACGATGACCGAGAACTGCATCGACTTGACTTGCCTGCCGGTGTACGTTTGGGTCAGTGCGTGGGGACGGAAGCTGAAGCGTGGGCGGGGAGGAAAGAGAGAGAGGGCGGCGCACTTCATGACCTCGGCGAAACCCATCGCCTCGTCGATACCCGGGATCGCAAACGCCAGGTCTTGCATCATGCCGTTCATTCCACTCTCGTCGCCTAGTTGATGAGGTTTACAGGTCAGTTTCGTAACCGCACGCATTACCGGCGCACGTTGAACTTACCGGACTCGACCATGTCCTGCATGGACGCGCTCGGGTCGATCTCCATCGCATAGAGGTTGTCAAAACCGTTGACCTTGGTCGCCTCCTTGCCAAACTTTTGGGAAAAGGCGTCCGAGAGGTTGTGAGCCGGATCGGTGGAGCTGGCGGTTCGAAGCCACAACGGCAGTACAAGGTCAGCGGTCCAGTCAAAACTGGGCGCGCATCGCACCCTGCACTGCAACGCAAGGACCGAAGTGGTCTCGGCGGAAGATGGCTGGGTGCGATCTGGACCTCTCGTCGACTTACAGCAGCAGCACGCTCTCCCGCTGCTGCGCGAGCTGTATAGCGACGCCGCATGCGTTGGTCGTCTTGCCCACTCCGCCCTTGCCGCCGACAAAGATCCATTTGAGGCTCTGCTGCTGGATAACGGACTGCAGTGTCGGGTCGAGGGCATCGCCTTCCGGTTCGGCGCAGACGAATTTGGTGTAGGTGGCCATCGGTTCCTCGGCGTCAGGCTTCGAGCTGTCCCGTTGCGCCAAGTTTGTCGAGCTGTTCCGTGCTATTGTACGAAGCTCTGCGTCTATCCCGGCGGGCGAGGCGACAGCAGGAGTGAGCGGTGGAAGAGAGACGCGTGGGGCGGCGCGAGATCTCGACTTGGGCGATGAAGGTGGATCCAGGCTTACACCAGCCATGTTCTCATGTTCACACATGCCAGGCTCCTGATTGCTGCCCACAACTGCAGATCTCCGCCGCCTCCGGTAGCACGCCCAGTATCCCCCTTCGTCCGCGGTCGACGACGAAATTGTACCCTGGCTCTCGCATGCTCGCAGAACCTCGAGCAGCTACATTGTCGTATTGTCGCTGACTCGATGCGCGACGCTGCTCCTCGACCGTTTTTGCTCGATCTCAGCAGCACTCGCTCAGGAGGTGTCGAGGGGCTCGTTTAAAAACAACGAGGATGACCGCAAGGTCGCCGCCACCCAATCATGCTTACGCAGTCCCGCTTCATCGTCCAACGCTGCCAAACTCACTCTCCGGCTCGCCAAGTCGTGCGTGCATGCGACTTCCCGGGCCGGCCCTCGCCCCGGTCATTAGTTCCGATTCTAGTGACGGTCTGCCTCGCCGACGTTCCGCCTCTCGTCGATCGCCAACACATCCGACGCACTCAACAACCAAACTGTCCGTGGAAGGGAGAGCTACTTGCTCGCTTTGTAGGGTATCCGGAGCGCTAGCATTCGGTGGCCGGCCCTCGCACGGTGCGAGATCAAGCAAGGCATCCTCGATGGCGACATGGTTTCGTCCCTGCTCATCCACGTCGGCGCCGAACCTGAGATCTACATATTCGCACATTAAAGACAGAGCTGCTGGCGGTCTTGCTCGCCGATGACGCTCACAAAACGCTTCAAGCAGGGGCTTCCGATCTCTCCTCCGACTTGCGGAGCAGCCTGGCAGCCTGGCTGCAGTTGAGGATCACCTCGGCTAAGGCTCACCAGTGGGCGCTCAGATGCACTTTGTCTCTTCTCTGCTAACCCTGAGGCAGACGTAAAATAAGATGGCATGAAACCCCCTACTTAAACTCATACGACAAGGAGCGACAAGACCCGGAAACCGAAGCTTCGTCATACTACCGAAAGAGCGGAATAAAGGACCCCAGAAGAGCAGGATGACGTCGGGAGGAACTGGAAGGGAGTCATAGGAAAGGCGAAAACAGATAAGGTGGAACGAGATTGAGGAAGGACGGTGGAGCCGGTGAGAGGCGAGCGGCGCCCAAGAGGACCACAGGGGCCGTCTATGCGAAGCGGGATGCAGTACGCGTCGCGACGAGGGTCACTCTGGTGGCCCCGAGAGGGATCGGAGCCTTGCCATCGTCAAATGCAGCCTCCTCGTCCTCCTCGTCATCGTTCGATCCGCGGACGAGCACGCCATCGTTCTCGACGGTGGAAGACGCGAGCGTCTCGTCTCTGGAGCAGTACGAGAGCGAGTCGCGCGACCGAGAGCGCGGCGAGCTGGACGACGCCCACGAGCCGGTGGCCGAGTTTGTGCGCGAAGAATCGAGCACGTCGTCCTCGTTCGGCGATGTCGCGTTAGGCTCGACTCGCCGTCGCTCACTGTCACCGCCGGCTAAGGGATCCTGGACGCCAACCGAGGCCCGTAAGAGCTCAGAGAGCTTTGCCGAGCGGGCCGAGTCCGGCTCAACCGGAAGCGGTCTATGCTGGCCGACCCCGGCGTCGCCAGCTTCCGTATGTCGATCGCTTGTCGCTGCCGCTCCGAATTGCGGGTCCCACGGTGTAAGCCGCAGGCGTGAATCAGCGGGAACGCCTCCAGTCGAAGCAATGCGGTCGAGGCTCGGTCGACGCGAGGACGACTCGAAACTTCTAAAGTCTGCGGATCCGGCTTGTCCTGCTTGGCAGCACCGGAAGCAGGGCTGTTTCCAACAATCGGGCTCGACGGAGTGGAGTTGCTGACGCGGCGTATCCGGTCAAAGCCCCACGGTTTGACCCACTTGGACGGCAACGGAATCGACGGCGGCGGCGAAGAGGCAAAGTCAACGCTCGAGCGCGTCGAGCCCCCGACCGGCGAAGACGAGCGGCGCCCCTCCTATCGGCCTGGTAGTGGAGTGCTTTTGTGCCGAGGAAGATGCCGTTTCACGCCTTTTGGCGAGAAAGTCGTGCTCTGCTGCCGAGGCAGAGTTGCGTCCGGAACCTTGTGGCGAAGATTTGCGCGTTGGCCAAGGGTGCATATGCTCAAATTCGTAGGCTACTGGCGAGTGCGGGTACTCAAGACGCTCCAACTGCCTTAGAGAGTAAGGCGCAGGAACTGGAACGACGTAGAGAGGCTGCAATGTGCGATATGTAGACTATAGTTACCCGCTAACAACAAGTTCCGATAGTTCAGGGGTTAGAATATGGGATTGCAAATCCCAGGGTCGTGGGTTCAATTCCCACTCGGAACTGCTTCCTTTTTTGTGCCCGACTACCACTGGTTGGAGTCTGCAGGGCCTCGGACCCTTGCTTGTCCTTTTTTCTATAAAGTCTGAGCAGGGGGAGATGCGCTACACTCTCGCGGAGGCGACGGGCTCAGAAGAGAAGATACGGAGATTGGTCGGACAGGCATTCCATTTCGAGGCGATTTTCAGGGCCGCGTCAGGAAGGCAGAGGCGTCCATGTCCCCCCCAGTGCCGACACCTCCATCCAATTGACCCGCCTGTACAGACAGCCAATCGCCCGCCCAGAATCCCGGATTCTCTTGAAGGAGGAAATCTCGGCTTCCGAGGTCGTCCTGCCACAGAAGAGGTGAAGTCCGACCGGACCGGAGAACAGCAACGGTCGGTTGCGGGAAGGGAGTCAGAGCGCCCGGCGCAGAAGTTGTGCCCCAAGACGAGAGGCCAAAGCCCACCACTAGTCAAGAGGGACGCGCGTTAGGGCACTTGTTTCCTTGGCGGCGGACGGAACCAAACGCACCTTCGCCCTCTGCGGGAGTCGCCGAAAGCTGATCCAACAACTGCGAGCACTTCCTCGCCCAGTTGTCCATCCTCGCTTTCGCGAGCATGCCCCGGTCCTCGGTCGTGATCGGCGAGCCGACGTGGCTCATGTCGATCTCGCGCGCATTCTTGGTCATCGACTCGAGGTGCCACGACAAGCCGCGCCACGGTCGCTGCATCCGTTCGAGAGTCGTCTGGCAAATGACGATGGCGCGCTCGAGCGGCTCGACTTGGTATTTCGGCGTATCTTGCGGGAGCGATTTGAGTAGGGCGGATGCCGCTCGACCAGCCATCATGATCGGCTGCGAGAGCGTGGGCGTGCACAAAAAGGCATCGTTCGAGATCAGACCCGAATAGGCGAGCATGTCGCCGATGCTGATCGCGGTCGAACCGCTCTGAGGCGTCAGTCGGCCGCCATCCGGGTCGACGGTGCCGGGCTGCGTAAACAGGAGGGCCGCTTGATGTATCGCAAGATGGATCGCCTGGTGCCATATCGAGAGAAGCAAAAAGGCGGGAGCGCATCCGGCGCTGACGTAGGCGCTGAAAGTCGGGATCGAGAACTGGAGCGCGGCGGGCAAACCGGCTTGGAACTCGGCGAGCTCGAGCTGGACCGAATGCGGCACACGCGGGACGTTTGTCGGCGACGAGTTCGAGTTGACGGCGTCGGAGACGTTCCCAAGGATGAGGAACAGGCGGCACAGGACGGGGAACGGATCGGGCAGGACGACGCCTTGAGCGGTGCGGACCGAGTCTCGAGGAGGCGGTAGTTCGACCTGCAGAGGGGGCGGATCCGTCAGCACACGCGCGAGTCCTCCTAGTCGGCTGAAGGTCGCATGTGCGCACATCAATCTGAGACAGAGGCAACGTTGCGACTCGTCCGGTCCCGCACGAGATGATCCGATCGAGGCAGACGACTGCCCAAAAGATGCGGGAACGGAGAGCAGCCTCGGCGGCGTCCTGCGTAGCGAACGGCTGTGTGTGCGTGTGCGGGTCATCAGCAACAGAGCGTGTTCGAGACGGCGCGCGCGAAAAACGCACCTTGTGCAAGCCCATATCGATACAGGCCCGAATGGCCATACCGCTGTACGCCCACAAGCCGCTATCTCGATCCGCGCCATGCTCATGATATGCGAGAAGGAGAAGGCTGTAGACAATGTCGAGGGAGGGGAGGGCCAAGTGCGCGACGATGAGAGCTTTGGCGCGATCGGCGAGGGCTTCGGGCGCCGGGCAAGGCGTTTCGGGACGCATCCTGCATAGACGGGACTACAAGGTCAGGGACGTGTGGTCGAGGAGAGCTCTCTCCGACCTTTGGACTGACCGTTTGACCAGCATGTGCATGCACGTCAACACCAATTCGCTCAGAGTCCCTCGAGACAAGCTCTCGAGCGTGTCGGCGAGCGGCATGTAGGGCAGGTAACTCTCGAACAAGGTGTAGAAAGTCCGTATTGTCGATTCGGCATCGGCAGACTCGAGCAACGGGTCGATCGGAGTGGGAGACGTCGGCGAGCGTCCGGTCGTGGTAGAGGGATCGCGTTCGGCGACGACGACGGAGAGGGAACGGAATGGCGCGCCGGGACCGGGCGGAGCGACCGACGTTAGACCTGTTCCGCGCGTTTGGTGATTTAGCAACGGGACGGCGGTGTGGCAGAGACAACACCCGCAAGATGTAGAGAAGCAGGAAGCAATCCTCACCTAGCCAGCGGAAGAACGGCTGTCGGACGACGATGGGCGGTACCGCGTTGGTCGGCGAGCCTTCTCCCTCGCTCGACTCGGGCGCAAGCAGCGGACCGATTCCTCCTCCTCCTCCTCCAGTTGCAATTGAAGGCCCACTGAAACTTGCCGGCCTGACATGCATCGTCGTCGCCGCCATTGCTGGCGTATCGTCGTTCGCGTGGTGTGGTTGGTGCAGTCTCTCCGTAGACGACGATCCTCGTCTCTTCCTCGGTTGATTAGACTGCTGTCCCTGTCCCTGCTGCTGCTGTTGCTGACCTTTTCTCGAATTGCCGGCCGGGTCGTAGTAGCACTCGACGCTCTTGCGCAAACACCTCGCGCAATGGGGCGCTTCGCCCGAGCAACGGACTTTGGCGGTGAAGCACGCTACGCATGCTCGGCGAATGCGACTCTTCGTCGTGGTCGTGGTCGTCGTTGTCGTCGGCGTCGTCGTCGGTGCGGGGGGTGGAGGAAATGCCGCGGCTCCGGCATGGTGCTGTTGTTGCTCGACGGCCTGATCGACTGCGACGCTCATCGGTGCGAACGGCGTCTTTGAAGTCGACGCGAAGCTGTTGCCAGAAGTTGACGAGGCAGCGGTCGACATGACCTAAGAAGTTGTTGAGAGCGGGCACTCGAGTTTGCCGGCTAACTCGGCAGCCGCAGCTTCTTTTGATCAACCGCGAGCGGTAGCGTGGGCGTGAAGAGTGGGACAGCTGGGGGAGCGGAGGAACGCGAGATCGAAAACGAGGGGAAGCGAACTGGGGGCCCGTGTACATCGATCTCTAACTACCTTACTGCCGACAGCCGTACTTTCACTTGCAGGCGTTCACGGATGTATGATAGTGTGTGCACGCGCGCCGATAATATACAGCTATGCGCCTCCGAGACTTTTCAACAACTCGTCAATGTCCATCATGTCCGTCGAAGGCGCCGCACTGGAGCCTCCTCCTGCGGGGTTGCCATTCGTGCCACTCGCCGAAGTGAGGATCGAAAAGTCGAGATCCCCACCTCCGCCGCCTCCTCCTGCTGATACTGCACTCGACGAACCCCCCATCGAGGAGGACGGCGGTGCGAGTCCGAGCGAAGCAAAGTCAAAGCTGGAAAAGTCAAACTCTTCAGCTGGAATCGCGGTCGGCGCCGTCGCCGTCGCCGGAGTCGGCCGCGTCGCTGTTCCGGAAGTTGTTGTAGTGGTCGCTGCCGGTCCGGACGACCCAGGCGCCGCGGCGCCAGTCCCGCTCGAAGATGCCCCGGCGCCGCCGCTATTGCTGTTGCTGCCACCTCCCGTGACGGTTCCTACTGCCGGGGGTGCCACGTCCAATCCGAGTCCGACTCCGAGCCCTGTCGCCTGCCCGTGCACCGCCGAGCCGCCTCCTCCTCCACCGCCATTCGCGCCCGCGCCGCTGCCACCACCGTTGGCCAGACTCGGATCGAGCAAGAGCGAGGCGTAATCGTCCTCAGTGAACGCGGGAGCAGCTGTCGTCGCAACGGAAGTGCTGAAAGGGGCAGAAGTGCTGAACGGGGCAAGGGGACCGCTGTGGGATAAAGAGGCGGAAGAGGCAGAGGCGGAAGAGGAAGAGAAGGCTGGCATGTTGAGGGACGACAGGAGCGCGTCAATATCGTCGGCGGTACTGTCTGGGAAGGCAGTCATCGAGGAGGCATCGCCGCCGTGGTTGTTGTTGCTGTTGGCGTCGGAAGAGAGCGGTGCCGAAGACAAGGCGGCTGCTGCTGCTGCTGTGCTCGTCGAAGAAGAAGAAGAAGGCGGGGCGGACGAAGCTGGCGCGGCGTTTGTGGACGACGACGACGATGGCGGCAGCTGAAACGGCAGAGACAAGTCCATCTCACTCAGCAGCGAAGTTGCGCCCGCTGCAGTTGAGGCGGACGTTGTCGTCGGCGGCGGAGGAGGCGACGATTTCTCGTCCGTCAAGTCGATCTGCATGGTCGACGTCGTAGCCGCGGCGGCAGAGGGTACTTGCGCAGTCGTCGGCACTGTCGCAGAAGTAGATGGAGGGAGCGCAAACGGCATGGCGAGGTCGTCCTGTTGAGGTGTCGTGTCTGGTTTCTTGTCCGGCTGGGGCGGCGGAGCGGCGGCGATTCCTTTTGCTCTGCGGATCTCCCTCTCGAGCACGGCGATTGCGCGCAGCTGCAGGTTTACAAACAAGGATCAATTCTCGTTCAAGCCGCGAGTGCTGAGGGGACGATGGACTGACGACTCGTTGTTCTACGGAGCGGCAGACGGCGTCAAACGCCTGGGTGTCCTCTGCGAGTTGCTTGACGAGGTGAGCGGGGGCGGGAGGGCAGTACTGCGCGGTTCCATGCTGCTGCAATCGAGCCTGGTACGCGAGTATTCGCGAGAGGTGCAAGGTGGTGGCCTGGAGAGTGCGAGGTCAGCGGTCTGGACTGACAGACTCGGACAGACAGGGACTCGCATTGAGTGCGGCTTCTAGTTCTGCTCGAGTCTGCGCATGGCTCATCTCGCGTGCACGTGTGTCCAGAGTCGAAAGGTGACAGTTCGGCCGACCCTCTCGCTCTCGGCCGCTCAACTCGACCTCGACGCGACCTCGACCTCGTCGAACCTCTCTTTACGCGGGCTGATCGCACCGCACGAACGACGAGCGAGATGGTGCTGACCCGCTCCGACAGCGCAACGTCGGTGTGGGTCTTGCCTCCTCCTCCGTCGCCGCACTTTGATCCACTCGCTCCCGACGCAGATGGCAACTACACCTTGCCAGACAGCGTGAGTCGACCAGCTTGTACTCGCCAGT